CGTGAAATAATTGCATCTCCTTTTATGCTGTGCATTAGCGAGTAGTGCCGTTAAGCCCTCATATCAGCAATAGGTAACCATGACGGACGCAGACAGACAGGCTGGAAAGGTCTAAAAGTGGTCTCTATCGTTTTCAGGAGACTCATTGATTAGTATCGTAAAGCTTCCAAATAGGCCTATTTGAATTCGTATGCGATTTCACGTTACTTTCGCAATCTATAGAGTATAAATCATCATCAGCTCCGGCTCCGGCACCGGTCAATGGGTACGAGTTCAAAATGCGCCATCAGCCTACCGGTCAAATGTGGCCATCGGCACGGTCCTAACATGAATATAAAGATGATAAAAATGTTAAAAATCGGTGGTTCCTAGTGGAACCTTTGGGCACGAAAGAGTTGAAATCAGATTATAGTCTAGTGATTTTTGTTCGAAGGTTTTGGGATCCATCTAGGCCTGGGTTCTTCGTGCTAACACAAGCGATGTCTTTTCGCAGAAAGTACGGAGTAGGCTATGGTAATGGCATTAGGCCGAGTTAAGTAGATGACGCTTCTCATCTCTCTCTCGGGTGACTGGGTAATGAGCTTATGTCATGTGACAGGGTGGCCTGGGCTCGAACCTAGCCAAGTCAAGTGCATATTTCCTAGTTGAAGCGCCAGCGTGCTTGGGAAGGGAATACCCAAGCACAGAACGCTCCTATCTCTAGATGTGGGACGTTGAGGAGCCGCGCCAGTGAAGGTCGAATCCCAGGGGAATCCCAATGCAAAAATGCTTATATTTTCAGTAGCCTAATACTTTTTTTTTTTTTACGGGTCATTTAGGCATTTTCAACCTTCTGCAGTGTTTTCACTTGAGTTGGACATTTTTTCACTTGACTTTGACACTCGTGGATGAGGAACGTCCCATGAACGTGTGTTCGAGTCAAGTGAAATGTTGTCTAATGGGAAAAAGGTGAAAATATTCATCATTCGCTTTACATACTTAGCGTTTGGCATACTTCAGGTGTAATTTCAATATCGGTTATCGGCAGGTCATATATCGTTTTAGGCCGATATATCGGATTCACCTAATATCGGTCGATACCGATAACCGATAAAATATCGTTGCATCTCTAATTATAGGTATAGATTACTCGTGAAATGGGTGCAGAGATTATCCTAATTTTTTTAATCAAAGAGCCAAATCTTTAATGGTGATTTGTTTCTGCCCTTTCTCCCATGAAGTGCAGGCACTTAACATGCATGCAATTTTTTCCTCCTAGAATTTTTATTATGCATTTCTGTGTTCATCAATCAACCATTTGCCATGACTCATGAAGGATATTGGAATCTACAGGCAGTATGTGTCATACCGCTTCATGCAAGGGATCGAGGCACAGTTGGGAGCCCTACAGAAGGGTTTCTCTGAGCTTGTCCCCTTGAATCTTCTCAACCCGTTTGATGAACGGGAACTGGAACTCCTCATAGGGGGAGTGGCCCGGATTGATCTCAACGACTGGAAGCTCAATACTCGTCTCAAGGTCTGAATATCACTTGGCCATTCACTGTGCTGGGATACTTATGCAGTACTTGTGATGTGTCTAGACCACCATTTGCTTGTATTTGTTCTGTTGTTTTATTTTTATTATCTGTATATTACAAATTATGAGTTTTATCCAGCACTTCACATATTCTATTATTTTCCTCCATAACTGGCTAAGGGTGTTGGTGTTGAGAAAGGGATTAGGGTAGACACAGTAGAAGGAAGCCTTGGTGGTTTGTGACATTCAGCAATAGTAGATCATAAATGGAAGTGGGGTAGACCTGGGTCTACCCTACTTTCACTCCTACTACCCTACACCCATCAATGATGATTGATGATTTGCTACTACTGATCATCATGAATTGCCCATGGAAGGAAGAGGAGGATTGGTAAATCAGAGAACCAGATGTTCCAGGTGACAGTTGGCATTCCCATGCTTCAAAACAGCCATCTGACATTAACCCCTTAAGTGGGCAATTACTCAGACAGAAATCCACCATTAGAGTGAGGACTTTTTCTTGTGAGAGTAATAGTTATTGTTTATGTACTGACATTTACTTCCTTTTTGCAAGTTTATACTCTGATTTCAAGTTCATATATAACTCAAACTTGAAGGTGGGTTTGATATATACATGTCAAACCCACCTGTGGAGAGTTCCACCATGATGGATATATATGTCATACAGGTTTAGGAAGGTAATGCAGACTGTAGAGCTACTTCTGCAAAGGTCATCTATATTAACATCTGTAATAGGAGAACCTGTGTTGGAGCAGGGTTGTCTAAACACAAAGTTAGTTGTGCCAAAGTCATTGTGCAAGTGTTGTAAGTTTTTGGTGCATTCAGAACTACACAGTGTACCAAGAGGGAGCTAGAATTAGTTCCTGCTTGCATAGCTTGCCTGGATAGCAAAAGTTATACCTTTAATTTGTTTCATTTGTTGCCATTTTGTGTCCATTCAGTAGACTTCCTTAAATACTAAAAGCTATTTCCATTCTGTTGCAAGTACTCATTTTGATTTTCTTTGGCTGCCATGTTCCGTAGCACTGCACTCCTGATTCGCCAATTGTGAAGTGGTTCTGGGAAATAGTGGAATCCTACAGTGATGAGATGCGGGCACGCCTCCTTCAGTTCGTGACTGGATCCTCCAGGGTCCCACTTCAGGGATTTAAGGCCCTTCAAGGTCACTCACATTCCAAGATGTTATGAATGTGCATGTTAGGAGACGTGGTCTTCAACTGCATCTTTCTGTTGATGTTTCCTCAGGGTCGACAGGAGCGGCAGGACCCCGTCTTTTCACGATCCACCAGGTCGAGGCGTCGACGGAGAACCTGCCCAAGGCACACACGTGCTTCAACCGCATCGACATCCCTCCCTACAAATCCAAAGAGAGAATGTATGAGAAACTCACTCAGGCCGTGGAAGAGACTTGTGGATTCACTGTGGAGTGACGAGAGACTCTTGTTTTTTTCCCCTTCCTTGCTGGGGGAAGGGCTAATATTCACAAAGAGTTGCTTGTGTTGTGTCTGGCTGCAAAAAATACCATGCATGCACTCTGGTCTCATGAAGCTTGTTCACAGTGGGCAAAATTATTGTGCTGGCTACTCAGATTACTATTGTCTGTGAATTAAACAGACTAAAATTAGATTTAAGAGATTGTTAGACAGGAGAAGGATCCTGCCTTGGAACTGTCCTCGTGAGCTCTGATGCCTGACACCAACTCATTGGACACGTTTTTTTTACATCATTAGGACTGCTATTAGTGCAATATGGATTTTGCTGCAATTTTAAATTGACCTTTGTTGATTTCTTTGACAAGTCATGAATTAGCAGTTTGTGAAGGATTTGTGACATCATGAACCTAATGATTGATGATGGTGCAAAAGGACTCTTGAACAGTGTATCAAGTACCCTATTTATTTGCAGAAAATGCAATTCATCATGACTTCCAAATTTAGACACATTTGTTGCCTTGTGTACTTGTAAAATATTGTGAATCGTTTCGCGAAAACATTTGGTGCTGCCTGATGTTCTTCAAAACACTGTCATAGTCCAGAGCCTGATATGAAATCAGAGTGCTTGCACGTTACTAACAGCTGCAGAAACCGAAGAGAAAAGCAGTTGATGGGTTGAACATAGCCCTTTCCTCTCTCTGGAATCTCTCCCTGGTGCTCTCTTCTCTTTTTTTTTTTTCTATCTTGTACAAAATAAGGTGACCTGGATCCTTTTGTTCCTGCGTTGCTCATGCTCATGATATTTTTGACCTTTTGTGAAGTGCTTCCCTATAAGTAAGACAAGATTTTAGTCCCTCTTTTTTTTTGCCAAAGGCACGAAAATGCCAAATGATGAATTTTGTGGGGGCACCCAAAAGCCAATTCGGATGGTTATGCTATTTCAGCAATTCAGCTGTATCTGATTAATGACACTGCCAAGTGGGTCGTTCCCAGCCGTAACGAAGGAGTCATTTATTGCTGGGTTTTGGCCAGTTCGACTCTCGGCGCGTTCGTTCCTTTGGCAAACCGATCTGGGATTTTTCCGTACGAGCTTCCAAAAGGAGAAGCGACGCTCTTGCTCTGTGCTGAGTTTCACCTCAGAGATGTCTTTTGCTTCAGTCGATATTGTTCTGCTCTTTGAATATTCTGAACATATAGAGACACTTGTATTTTATATGTGCACTGCACATGACTGAATAAGAAAGATTCGAAACATACTGCCTGCATTTTTTTTCGTACCGACCGAGCCGCGAGAGCGAGTCGTCGAAAGTCTTCGTGTCTTGCCCCACTGTGCCTGGAAACCTGTGGGAGTTGATTTTGCATCGCACAGTGGCTGTGTTTTCGGTACAGGTCGCACCAGTCTGAGATGCATCCTGTGAGAACTGATTCGGTCATTCCCTTTTCATCTCCAGTGAAATTCTGGTCCAGGCTGGCAACCTGGTCTGGTTTCCGGCTCGTGGTTGGCAATGTTGGCGTTTCTGTCGACCTCGAAACTTCAGCCACATGTCACTAAGTTCCTGTTTTGTGTTTCATCAGTGCTTGTCATCGGTTTTCTCGTCAACGAGGAGACTGCAGACTCCATGCAACTGTTTCCAGCGAGGCCGTGGAATGCAATAAACACCCAATCGTGTCCGATATGGTAACTTCATTATGATATTCAGTTCATAAAATAAAATCTGAAATTTTAACCCGTCACAACAAGCTGGGAAAAGAGAATATTTGTGCCTGCAGGGCATCTCATGCACCCATTTAATGAACTTGAAATTGCAAGTGCAATTTGCAAATCCCTGTAAAACGAATTTACCATTTCTTCAAGAGAAACCTATAATAATGTTATATTGGTTTCCATGTTTTTTTTTTATGCTCACATAAGAATTGGAATCTGTCCCCGGCCTTGAAATTAAATCAATCACTCCTCAAAACCAATCACAGGATTACCATTGTAATTAAAATTTTTAAACTCCCATCCAACTCTTGGTGAAAAAAAAAAAAATCTGGAAAAACGAAATTCAGAGGGCCAAGGACTCCTCAGGGGACTCCTCAAGGGATGTCGACGATCATCCGCTTCTTCCTCAGCGCGTTGAACTTCGGGAGTCCCAGCTCGAAGCCGGTCCTGACCGCCTCCCTTGCGACGGGCTCGAACAGGTCCAGGGCGAGGCCGCCCATCGCCGCGTTCGCCTTCCCCATCATCTGCGTCGTGGGGAAAATATTTTATTATTATTAAAATAGATGTTTTAATTAAATTTTAAATTTTAATAAAAAATTGGTTGTAAAAAATAATATTATAGTGAAAGTCAAGAATGTTTGTATTAAATATTAGACAATTATTGAAGAAAATTTCTAAACAATAAAAATAATAATAGAACATAAATAATAATATAAAAGAGTTTATATGGATGCGAGAAGAAAGACGAAGAAAGGGAAAACGGCTCACGTCGCTCGACGGAGAACCAGCACGAAGCGAAGCGGACGGAGGGAGGAGGAAGACTGGACTGCGCATGCGCCGTCGGGGGTCGACGCGCATGCGTTCTTGCGTTTCTGCGCATGCGCGGTTCTGGTGGATGCGTCGTCTGCTACGATAGGAGGAGAAGATGAAGGAGGAGGAGGCGGAGGGGAGGATCATATACGGGGGGAGGCCGGAGGAGAACGAGATCACGGAGGAGCTGCCGGGGGATATCCAAGACAACGAGATGGTGGATCTGTTTCTCAATATTGCGAAGGAGGTGAATCGGGCGATCAACGATACGGTGCCGTTGAGGGATGTGAGGATACCGTTGGTG